ATAAGCCAATTTCTAGCTAAGAGCGTTACCATTCTTCAGAGATTCTGCTAAAAGGAAAGTATAGGGGTTCAAGGGGTGCACTTCAGAGTAGGCCCCCCGGGTTCAGTTCCAGTTTTTCCCCTCACTAACCGTGCAGTCTCACATAAATTATTGAATTTTTTGGTGCCTCGGACTCTTCAGCTGTGAAATGTGAACACAGTGAAGCACAGCACCTGTGTTGTGGTGAGCCTTCAATACATATTGGCTGTGGTTGCTACAGATTGAGCACCCCAATCTGAAAATCCAAAACCCCAAATTCCCCCACATCCAGAACTCTTCAAGCACTAGCTTGACTCTCAAAGGAAATGCTCGTTGGATAATTTCAGATTTTGGATTTTCATATTAGGGATACTTGACCACTGTAATGCAAAGTCTCCAACATATGAAAACATCCTAAGTCTGAAACACTTGTAAGTTGCGAATATTCTAGATGTTTGCTTTACTATGTGCATTCAGGGGATACTGGAAGGGAGGAAGAGTTTTTAATGTAGGGGCATAACATTTTTTTTAGATTAAAAAATAGTCATTAGCAGATTATGTAAAACCATCTGCTACTAGAAAGCCATTAAAAATGATGACCACATCCAGTCCCCAAAAGGGAAGAACCATTTTTAATGAGTTTATGCCAGTAGGTCATTAGGAGGCTTTCTCTCATTTTTATGTTAATGAAAACGATGCTTCTAGCTTAAAAGAAGAATCTGAAACCTAAGAAAAAAGTGATGGAATTACCTGGGAACAGGTTCCGGATCTCACCCCGGCTAGAATGACTATTATCAAAGAGACAAAGAATAACAGATTCTGGCAAGGATGTGGAGAAAGGGAAGCCTCATGTATTCCCTCATGTGGGAATATAAGGTAGAGCAGCCGCTATGGAGAACAGTACGGCAGTTCCTCGAAAAACTAAACATGGAGCTGTCATCCAGCGTTCCCACTGCTGGTATATATCCAAAAGAAAGGAACTCGGTGTGTCAGAGAGATATGTGCACTCCCACGTTTATTGCAACACTGTTCACAATCGCCAAGTTATGGAGTCAACCTAAGTGTCCATCAGCAGATGGGTGGATGAAGATATGTGGTACTTAGACACAGTGGAATATTATTCAGCCATAAAAGGAATGAAATCCTGTCATTTGTAGCAACACGGACGGAACTAGAGAACACTATGTTAAGTGAAATAAGCCAAGCACAGAAGGCAGAGATCACGTGATCTCACTCATGTGGGAGCTAAAGAAGTGGATCACATGGAGGTCTGGGGTAGACTGGTGGTTACTGGAGACCACTAAGGGTAGGGAGTGGGGAGATAAAGAGAAGCTACTTAATGGATACAAAAATAGAGTTAAATAGAAGGCAGAAATTCTTGTATTCTATAGAACAGTAGGGAAATTATATTTAACAATAATTTTTATATATTTCAAAGTAGCTAGACAAGAAGAATTGTAATTTCCCAACACAAAGATAAATGTTTGAGGTGTTGGGTATCCCAGTGACCCTGATTTGATTCCTATACATTGTACATATGCATTGAAATGGCACCTATACTCCCAAAATATGTACAACTATTACATGTCAGTAAAATGCTAATACAAAAATTTAATTTTAAAAGTTTGTAAAAAGAAGGTGTCCCAGGGACAGTACTTGTGGTAGCATGTCACAGAGATCACTGGCATCCCAAAGCGTGGCTATTAATGATGAAAATGTAATTTCAAAGTGTTTTCTATTTTTCAAATCAATGGAAATAGGACCCGGAATGGGGAGTAGGCATGAGGGATTTGGGAAGTAGTCGTATGTTTGTCACACCTGCTCCTGTCGGAAGGAGACAGCTCTACAGAAACCATCTTAGAATTTAAAATGTGGCTGTAATTAATTAATTACATCCAGCAGCTATTTTTTGAGGGGCAGACCATAAAAAGCATAAAGTATCCTTGGAAGCCACAGGCGACCTTTTGGCATGCCGAGTATTACAGCCGGATTTGGAGCTGTATCCAGCAGGCCCAGCGAACTTTTCCTCTTACAGAGTTTCTTCTGCTTTTCCCTTCAACTCCAGCAAGCAGTGCTCATTTGGAGCTGGGCTGAGTCACGTGCCCACACATACAAAACAGAGGCTTGCCGAGAAGAGGCCTCAAAGCTGAAGCTGCTAGGGCAGCCAGGTTGTTTTTGCCATGAGTTCTGGGATTCTGATAACCTAAGAATGAAATATTGTTCAAATAACCAAATTTTCCTGAAAAGCTCATTATTTCAGAAGGATAAGGATTGTTGCCTGAGGGACCAGACAGTTTCCTTTACAGTGAGGAGCAACTCTGGCCTCCTCAAAGCTCTGTGCCCCTGTCCACTGAGACTCTCACCTCCTCAGGAGCCTCCCTCTTTCCAATAATCCAGGGTTTCTCGGGGGGTGAAGCAACCATCCTCATGTGCTTGGCTTTGGAGAGCCCAGCTATGTAGTTGCTTCATAGATGTTTGCTGAGATGTGTTTCCAGCATATATCTCTAGATGGTGGTGGCAGCCAGGCAGTCTGGAACTGATTTGATTTTTCTCTGTCTTACCTACTTATCCAATGCACACCGGCCAAGAATTCTGCTTTGTGCAGGGAGTATGCTAGAGAGGATGAATAAGGTTTGTTTGTCAACTTGAAATCTATAATGAGAGAATCTGAGAACCTGCAAAAGCACAAAATGGAAGAGAGCAGGGGCACAGTCAGAACACCAAGAATTGCCAGGTGGCTGGAGCATAGGATGGATAAGGATTTTGAAGGGACTGGTCTGTAGGCTGTGACTTCCTGATAGATCTGCAAACGGCATCACGTAGCAATTGTGGCAATAGCAATATGTGGCAGTGGGCACTTTCTGCAGTAAAGGTCCACCAGGGGACATTCTATCAAGGAGCTGAATGCAGTGTTGTTGCTGCCACCCTGCATTCAGCCTGTTTTTGTGGGGTGGCCAAACAGAAGTGTGGAATGGGGATTGGGGCCACCGGCCAGGGCGTCCTGCCTGTAGCCGTCTTGCCTCTCACACCTCCTTCTGTAAAACAGAAATAATGAGGCTTGATTACCTAACCAGGTTGTTTTGAGAAGCCAGTGAGATGATGGAAGTGAAAGAGCTTTGAAAACATTGCAGCGCAGTGAATGACTTTTTCTTTTTCAACTTTCATTTTAGAATCGGGGGTACATGGCAAGTTTGTTACAAAGGTATATTGAGTGATGCTGAGGTTGGGGCTGTGACTGAACCTGTCACCCAGGTAATGAATATAGTATCACATAGTTTTTCAACCCCTGTGCCCCTCTAATAGGCCATGGTATCTATTGTTTCCATCTTTCTATGCATCTGTAGCCAATATTTAGCTCCTACTGATAAGTGAGAACATGCAGTATTTGATGTTCTGTTCCCGTGATAGTTTGCTTAGGATAATGGCCTCCAGCTGCATTCGTGTTGCTGCAAAGGACATGATTTTGTTCTTTTTTATGGCTGCATAGTATTCCATGATGTATTTGTACCACGTTTTCTTTATCCAATCTACCAATGTTGGGCTGGGTTGATTCCACACCTTTGCTGCTATGAATAGAGCTGCAGTGAACATGTGCCCTTTAGGTAGAATGATTTACTTTCCTTTGGGTATTTACCAATTAATGGGATTGCTAGGTCAAGTGGTAGTTCATCTGAGTTGTTTGAATCATCTCCAGACTGTTCTCTGCTGTGGCTGGATTGATTTACGTTTCCGACAGTGTGTAAGTGTCCCCTTTTCTCCTAGCCTTGCCAACATCTGTTATTTTTTACTTTTTAACAAAACCCATTCTGACTGATGTGAGATGGTATCTCACTGTGGTTTTGATTTACATTTCTCTGATAATTAGAGATGACGAGCATTATTTCATGTGTGTTACTTGCTTGCTTGTATGTGTTCTTTGGAGAATTGCCTGTTTATGTCTTTTGCCCACTTTTTAATGGAGTTATTTGCTTTTTGCTTGTTGATTTGTTTAAGTTCCTTGTAGATTCTGGATATTAGACCTTCGGTGAAAGACATTTTTAAAAACAATGAAGTGTTTAGGCAGTGGGGCCAACAACACTATTGTTTTTAATGTGATATCATTTCTTGCATTACCACGTCCATTCCGTCATGAAATTATTCTTTTAAAGAAAAGGGAAAGGGAGGAGGTGGCAGAGCTGGACCAGCAGGAAATAAATACCCGCCTCAGGACTGCAGAGCTGGGCCTCATGGCCCTGAAAAGAACCCTGAGGCCAGGCCTGGGTGGGGCAGGAAGCACAGCAGCCTCGCCTGTGGCTCCCAGTAGGTCTGTGAACAGCCAGATCTGCCCACAAACCACCATCAGCAACCCAGAGGAGCCCCAGGAAGCACCCTGTATGCCAGGCCCAGGGGTTCCCCACGGAAGCGGGACACCAGCCCCTACCCTCCCTGTTAATGGGAGTGGTTTCCAGGTGACTCATATAAGTCAACTGCAAAAAATGAAATAGAGGCCAGTAGCATTATTTCAAGTAAGACAAGTGCCAGGTCCCATATTGTATTCTAACTTATCTCAGAATCAGAGGAGGAAATACAGAAAGGCTTGGCTTTGGTTCTCTCGGAACCAGAGCATTTCTGCCCTTTCTCTGTAAGAACTGCACCTGGGGCCTGACTAAGTAGTAAGTGAAATCCCCACCTGAATGATGGCTGCCTCAATCCCTAGAGAGGCAGGACAGAGTCAGGGTCTTTGGCAGGCTTTTTGAGGCTCATAGGTGTTTTTCTTCCAGCTCTGCCAAACACCAGTTCTATGACCTTAAGCAAATCACTTAACCTTCTGGGGCCCAGTTCCTCCATGTAAAACATGGCAGTAAGAATAGCACCTCCTTATGGTACTGTTAGCATGCTCTGCAGTGCCCAGAGTCTTGAGCCTAGTTGGTTGTGGAGGCACCAGAGTGCCAGGCACTTTCTTGGTTGGCTCTCAATGGTCTCCTCTGACCTCTTCCCCACAGGGCTCTATGTTCTGGTTGGAGCCGGGGCCCTGATGATGGCCGTGGGGTTCTTCGGGTGCTGCGGAGCCATGCGGGAGTCACAGTGTGTGCTTGGATCAGTAAGTGGGGCGTGGGGGTAAATGGTGGGGTCGGGGTGAGGGTGCAGCCTTCATCTGAAGGGAGTCAGTGCCTCTGGCCCCCGACTCCAGCCCCTCCATGGACTTCCTGAGCTCTTGGCACGCACTTTTCCTCCCTGAGTCTTGGTTTCTCCATCTCTTACACATTAATAATATTACCTGGATTCTGGCACAGAGACTCACACCTGTAATTCCAGCACTTTGGGAGGCCAAGGCAGGAGGATCTCTGAGCCCAGGAGTTCCAGACTGGCTTGGGCAACATAGAGAGACCCAGTCTCTACCTGGTGTGATGGCACACACCTGTGGTCCAGCTATTCAGGAGGCTGAGGCAGGAGGATCACTTAAGTCCAGGAGTTGGAAGGCTGCAGTGGGTCACGACGGTACCCCTGCACTCCAACCTGGGTGACAGAGAAAGAACTTGTCTTGAAAAAAGAAAAAAAGAATAAAAAGAATATTATCTTTGTTCCTGCCTCATATGGGAAGTGTGAAAAAGAAATGAGGCCATTGTTATACCATGTTTTGGGGAGGAAAAGTACTTAGTCATTGTAAGGATTGTTCTTTAAAAAAAATAATATTTCACCGTGGGTGAGGCAGCTAAAAGATTTCTATAGCCAGGGAAGTGCTGTTACCTAAAAGGAAATCATGTATGTTTGAGACCAATAACTTAGCCAAAATCCCTCTTGTGGCTTATTCTAACAAGCGGCCTCTTTTTTTTAAAAAATCAAATAATTTCAATTAACTGCTATACATTCAATGCCAGTGTAGCCTGAGAGAAACAGGAAGGAAGAAGAGGGGCAGGAGGAGAGAAAGTGTTGATATTTCTCCACAGGGAGTCAGAAACAGCAGTTTTAGTAGCCAGCCTCTCATCTCTCATTACTCACTGTGATCTCTGGATTGTTAACTCTGACTGCAGCCTCTGATCTCTTGCCATGTGAAATGTCTAACTTGTTTCTTTAGCCATTCATTCTTTCTCTTTCTCCTACTGCTGCGCTATTTGTCTCTTATTTATCACTGAACTTAGTTTGATCAGAGCAAATCCATAGACCAGAACAGAAATCCCTCCAGAATTTCACCCCACTCCCATCTCCACAGAGAGGCCTTTCGAGACCACAGAGTCTCAAGTCATCCCCTTCCCCAAGCCCGGGCTGCATCAGTGACTCTCTCTCTCCTGACCTTATATCTTTATGGGTCTTTTGTGTCCGTCAAGTATTCACTGAGCACATAGATGCCTGGCGCTGTTCTATGCGGTGGGATTTTTGTATCACTAACTGAATTTACCTTATTTACTTTTTAATTTCTTTGCTCAGTTATCGTATATTCCCCTATCCAATCCAAGGTCCGTGATAGCAGTGACACTGGGATTTTATCTTGTTCACCGCTGTATACTCAGCACCAAGGACAGTACCCAGTGCAGAATAGATGCCCAATAAACAATTGCTGAATGAATGAATTAATGAATAAACAAACCACATGAAAGCAACTCACCCGTTACATAAGGAAACTAAGGTGCAAAATAAATATATTGAAAAGGTATTAAATTGATGAAATTAGTATTTTCTCTCCTCTACAGTTTTTTACCTGCCTTCTGGTGATATTTGCTGCTGAAGTAACCACTGGAGTATTTGCTTTTATAGGCAAAGGGGTAGTAAGTAAAATTTACTTATAATGTTTTTTTCTATGATGGTTAAAAGTGTTAGAATGTTGTTACCCACAATATTATTAAGAAACCAAATAATCTCCAATATTATAGTTTAAACAGAACTTTTTAACTTAGAAGTGGTGTGCAGAACTGAGCATATGTGTGTGTCAGTGTGCAGGCATATACAAGCTCACATTTTTCTGGGGAGATAGCTCATATCTTTCATTAGACTTATGAAGTGGTCTCTAATAAATACCCCGGAAAAGGGATCTCTAGTTTAAGATTCTTCCCCAGTGAGTGTGAAAGGGGGTAAGTAAGGGTTAAAGGACAGACCTGAGAAAGAGGGATAGAGAAATCATCTAGCTTCTCATCCCATCAGCATGTCGTTTGTCCTTAAGGATTGGCCTGGATGGGGCCATTTCGTTCTTAAAGACTATAGCGTGCCCTGCTGTGGGGTAATGAAGCCAGTCTCTATTTGCTGCACAACTCTAGGTGTCCGGAATAGCTTCTCAGGAGGGCACACAGAGGAAGTAGCCTTTCTAGAAAGGTAAAACGCACTGTGGGATAGAAGAGAATGGAATGGAAAAGGAGGAAGAGTGGCAGCTTAAGTTTGCTGTGTTTCACATTAACTCCTGTGTCATTAATATTGTGTTTATGAACTTATTTTAGACTATAAAAACAGTAAACGTGTGGAACAGTAAGTGTCGCCACCTTCCGAATTTTTCTAAGGTAGCTGGCTGTGGTCATAGGTTAGTCTAAATGCAGCTACCTACAGAAGTAGAATCGAATCTTAGAAATATTTGAGATTTCTGTGGATGTGAGGCCACAAGCTTTTATACTAAAATAAGCATTCTCTAAGCTTTATATGATATTTGAATGAAGTTTTCCTTTGGTGATGAATATTTTTAAACCATGTCATAAAAAGACTTGAATGCTTTCAACCAGTGGGATACCAGGAATGTACATGTCCCCATCCTAGCTCTGCATCCGATTCACCTGGGTGGAGCCCGGGAATCTGGGGCCCAGTCGATGCTGAAGCCCAGTTGAACTTGCAGAAATCTTTGTAGTCCATGAAAACTGTCTGGTTAGTCTTATCCTTCCATCCTCACAAACATCTTAGAAACTCCAGAAACTAATCTTCTCCATATGTGCACAATTATACTGAAATATCTATGGAAAAGCAGAATTTGTTATTTATTTCAACAGGTTTTTGGGAAACAGGTGGTGTTTGGTTACATGAATAAGCTCTTTAGTGGTGATTTCTGAGATTTTGGTGCACTCGTCACCCGAGCAGTGTACACTGTACCCAGTGTGTAGTCTTTTATCCCTCACCCCCCTCCCACCCTTTCCCCCGGGTCCCCAAAGTCCATTGTGTCATTCTTAGGAGAAAGTCAGTATTTTTGAAAGGTGTAGAAGAGGGGATTTTGCTCAATGAAAGGAGAACGTGTGAATCTTCCCACTCAGTCGTCCCTCATGTTTCCTGGTATTTTTTTTCAGGCTATCCGACATGTTCAGACCATGTATGAAGAGGCTTATAATGATTACCTTAAAGACAGGGGAAAAGGCAATGGGACGCTCATCACCTTCCACTCAACAGTGAGTAACTTTACTTCTTCCTTCAAACCGCAGCTTCTAAGGATCATGTGTGAGCCGTGTTCTCCCCAGTCACCAGGATTAAAAATAAAAATAGTTTCAGTAAAGCCAACTAGCAGCAGCTATTTGAGCCCTTCCAAGCGCCATAGTTTGTATATGTGGAACCCTAGAAGGGAAAGATGTCTGTCACACAGACTTCACAAGAGAAAAAAGTGCATGAATCCAAAAGATACACTCCCCGCAAAGAGATGAAAGAGCACAAACCATGCAGGGAGAAAGGAGCCCAAATAAACAGCAGCCTGTGTCAGAGGGTAACTGTGGTGTAGCAGGAACAAGTGTGACCTTTCAGTCAGAAAAGCTCGTTTCTAGCTGCAGCTCTGCCGCCCAACAGCCTTGTGACCTTGAGCAAGTTACTTGGTCTCCCTGATACCAACTCAGCTCCCTCATTTGTAAAATGAAGGGTCAAGGGAGATGGCTACACTCCCTTCTGGAACATACAGAGGAACTGTGCCATCCATGCAGTTAATCACGGAAGGCTCACCGAAGAGATGGGGCAGGCCAGAGTCATTCTGATTTTCTAGACGCTGTGATATGGAGAAGTGGCTGAACTCCTGAGCCAGGTGTTTTCAGGTACCTAGTTCTTGTCTGGAACAGGTATGTCTTGCAAAGTGGCCTCCATTATACATTTATACAGTTTCACCTCAGCTGCCCCCAGGACCTGAAGCAACACACGGGTTCTTTTGGCTTAAAAGCCCAGCTAGCCTAAGGCAGGACACCTCTTTGCTGACCAATCTTCAAGTCTGGTCTTTTGGCCACCTGGAATTTCCTGCAGCCATTTCTCTCTTTTCCAGACTATTCCCAGCTAATGAGTTTTTCCTGAAGCTCATAAAACTTCAGGTCCTCAGCAGGTTAAATGACTCCCAGTCTGAAAGAAGGAGTCTAAAGCCCCAACCCCTTTCTAAAAAGCAGCAATTTACACAGACACTGTCAATTAGCTTCTTGCCTTGTTTGGGTTGCCTTGAGTCACTTCCCATCATAAACTCAGATGGCTTCAGCGAAGTCGTTTTCTTGTTTTGCCACCATGATTACATGATTCTTCGCTGTCCTTCCAGAAATAGCAGTCTGGGTTGCAGGGATCGGGCCTCGGAGCTGCTTTGCCACTTCAGCACCCCAGTCCTTAGCAGGGTGCCCAGACTTGTAGCTGCTGCTCCTCCCTCCTGGTCCTGAAGTCTCTTTTCTGACTCTCTAGTTTCAGTGCTGTGGAAAAGAAAGCTCTGAACAGGTCGAACCCACATGCCCAAAGGAGCTTCTAGGACACAAGGTAAGCTTCTACCACGGTTCCTTCCGTACCTGTACTGTGAGGTGGGTTTTGCCTTCAGGGTATGGTCAGGGGCTCAGGTCCTACCTCACAGATTCTGGTAGGCCCTCTCCCAGTGGCTTCCATGCCTTGGCCTTATTCCATGTGAAATAAGTGAAGCAATCCAGAGTCACAGTCCCCTGGTGCCCTGGGAAAAGATATGCCAGCTTCCCATATGGATGCCACCTGCTTATGGTATTAATTAAGCTCACCAGGGCTGAAGTTTGTGCCCAAGAATGTGGCCCCACGCCTCTCCATGGGAGTCACACACTGATAAATGCTTCCTTATTAAGTGCTGTGTGTCAGACACTATGCCCGTTTCTGGGAACTCTGAGATGAAGAAGACATGGTCTCTTGCTCAGCAGCCTCACAGACTTACTCAAGGGCAATAGTGCTGTGTAAGAAGTCTGAACAGGGTTCCCTAAAGCAGTAGATTTAGGAAAGGTTCATAGAGGAGCAGGTCCCTGAGCTTAGTTCTCACAAAGGTCACTCCAGGCCCAGAAAGCAGCAGGAACACAGTCACAGCTGTGTGAAAAACCCCAGGACTGCAGGCGAAGAGGGAGCCCACAGAGCGCACTGGGCAACACGTTCAGAGAAGCAAACAAAGGCATGATTTTACACCTGGAAGCTTGAGGAAGCCACTAATTTTAGCAGAGAATGAGCAAAATCCGCTTTGAGTTGTAGAAAGTATTTTCAGGCTGCTGGGGTGTGAAGGAATAGGGTTGGAGAGTAATGGAGGAAGACCACTTAGGTGGCACTTGTGGTCACCCTGACAAGAGAGGATGTGCGGCCACAGCGAGTCACAAACAGTAGGGATGGAATGTCATGAGACGTTCCGGAGGCAAAATCCACAGGCCTGGGTGACTTAGTGGCTTTAAGTGGTGAGTGAGTGGAAGGAAGGAGGCTAACACCTCCAGACTTCTGCCTGGGTGGCTGGATGGGTAGAGGCTCCACTCCCTGACTATAGGGAAAGGGGCGGATCCTGGAGACAGATGACAACTTTGGTTTTGCTCAAGTTTGTACTTCAGGTGCCCGTCAACTTACAGGTAGGCTGAGATGAAGACACGGGTAGGAAACTGAGCAGGTTGGCCGTAGCCAGTGCCCTCAGAGTGAACGAGAGCACCAGGGAGAGTGAACAGAACAAGGAAGGAGGAGGGGCTCCATCATTTCAGGGGCAGGTTGAGGCCCAGAAGCCAGCACAAGAGACTGGGAAGGAGGAGTCAGAGTCTATTTGGGAAGCCAAGGCGGAGATGGTTCACCCATAAAGTCAAATATTGGGAAGAGACAAGTCAAGACCAAAAATAGTTTGTTGGATTCGTTGGCTAGAATATCATTCATGATTTTTGTCACATAGTTTCAGCAAAGTAATTGGGGAAAAATACAATGTGGGAAAGAGAGGGAACTATGAGACTGTGGAGATGGTAATATAAATGTTCTTAGAGTCTCGGCTAGGAATGGGGTGGATGAGATTTCAGCTCCAGCTCATGTCCCAAATTGGCCATCGAACATTGGTTGGGTCCTTCTGAGTGGATAAAATGAACAAGACAGCACTGCCCTCAAAGTGCTCACGTCTGGCGGGGAGACGCGCACAGGAGCCGTGGACAGCACGTGGGCTGAGTTAAGGCTGCACAGCAGGGAGCACAGTAGATGAACCTGGGGTAGGATTCCAGGGTCCGCGGGAGGCTTCCCTGATGTGATTCTTAGGATGAATTTTGGAGGATGACTAGGAGTTCAGTAAGCAAACAAAAAAAGACTGGGACGTTTTAGGCAGAGACACAGGGCAAAGGCATGGAGGAGAGGGAAGGCAGCTGCCTTCAGGCAAGTGCCAGCAGCGGACGTGGCTGAGAGCCCAGGTTGCCTATGGGAAATGGGTACTTTAGAAAGGAGGGACCCCTACTCAAAGGGCAGTGGGCACTCTTGTGAGGCTGAGAGTCTTGCCTTCATGCTGCTAGCTTAGGGAGCCACTGGGAAGGCTGCTGTCCTTGTCAGCAGGAGGTGTCAAAGAGGGGCTTTTAGAAAGCGACATCTACAGGAGTGGTGACCAGTTAAAAATCAGAGAAGAGAAGAGAATCCACTACTGGCTTTGTGGCTTCACCACCTACATAGATCCATTTATGGAGCTGAGGGAGAGAGGAAAAGAGCCAGTTGTGGAGAAAAGAAAATGAGCTTCATGTTTAACATGCTGATTTTGAGAAGCCAGTGGCACTTCTGAGTGGAAATACTCAGTAGGCAAAAATATCCAGTAGGCAGTTGGAAAATCTGGTTTGTGGCTCCGGAGAGAGGTCTGAGTGTCAGCACTTGATGGGAAACTTAAAGCTATAGGTACGGATTTGATCCATTAGACTTGAAGAAAAGAGGGATGAGGATAGAGCCCTGGGGAACAACCACATTTAAGGGTGGGCAAACAAAGAGGTGCCAAAGAAGGAAACTGGAAGGGGGCGGCCAGACACAAGTGAGGAGACACCGTGGGAAGGGGAGGGAATGGTCACCAGGCCCAGGTGCTGCTGTTGAGGGCAATTCAGTATTGAAAAACTGCCTACCTTATGTTAGGCACTGTGGATGCAAAGGCGAAGGAGAGAAAGTTCCAACTCACAAGGAGCTTGCACTGCAGTCTAATAGGGATGAACATGAAGCCGATACAGTGCAGTGATTGACGCATGCACGGAACGTGCCTGGTACTCCAAAAGCACAGAAGGAAAGGCACTCAGGAGAGGCCAGAGACTGGGGGATGGGGAAGGCTGACTGGAGGTAATGATGTCTCAGCTAAATCTTCAAGAATGGAAAGTAATTATGCAAGCTTTGGGCAGGAAGCGGGAGGGGGAGGCCTGCCTGCAGAGAGACAGGCGTCAACAGCACAGGCAGAAACTCCATGGGTTGTGTGGGGAACTAAAAGCCCAATTAAGTCCGCTGAGATAACTGCCGAGAAGCTGGCGGGATTCAGCATGTCAGGACCAGCTGGTGAAGTGGTGTAAGGGATGGAGTGAGGACAGAGCCCAGATTTTGGAGAGTGAGATGTGAGGAGAGAGGGCATCCTTTCAAGAAGTTTGGATTTGAGCCAAGGACACACAGAGAGAGTTTATAAAAGGCAAAGTCCAAATTACCGTTAAACATATAGAAAATATAGGAAATTAAAAGTAATAGATTTAAAACTAATAGCAAATTAAAATGAAGAGATGCTGTTTTTTAACCTATAAATTGACCAAGTTTCCCTCCCGCCAGCTTAATAATAATATCCAGTTTTGGTAAGCGTGTGTGATGAGCATTTTCTAAGAAATTGGTCAATAGTTTTAAAAGTCAGTATGGCTGTGTAAGACTGGAGGAGTAAGTGTGTTTTTGCCCTTCTATCCAGACATCAGCTTCTCGCAGTTTATTCTAAGGAAAAGGAATCAGATAATGGGGACAGACGGTTTTGTGCAAACCATGTTCACTGCAGTGTTATTCATAACAAAACACTTGATAGGCCCTTCATATGCAGCCTGTGAAGACTTTTTAGTTTCTTAATAGGTAATGCCTACCTTGCATAATAAGCAGGGGATTGTTTAGATAAAATGTAGTATATTCATATAATGAAATGTTTTACCACCATTAAGAATCATGATTTTGCCTGTAACCCTAGCAGTCTGGGAGACAGAGGCAGGCAGATTGCTGGAGCTCAGGACTACCCTGTACAACATGATGAAACCTCATCTCTACTAAAAATACAAAAGTTAGCCTGGTGTGGTGGTGTGCATCTGTAATGTCAGCTACTCCAGAGGCTGAGGCAGGAGAATCACTCTAACCCAGGAGGTGGATGTTGTAGCGAGCCAAGATTGCACCACTGCACTCCAGCCTGGGTGACAGAGCAAGACTCTGTCTCCAAAAAAAAAGAAAGAAAAAGAATCATGATTTCAAATAAATTTTTAGTGAAACAAGGCATTTTTGAAGTTCTAATATTGAGTTTAGAAAGCACACAGTTGAATATAAAGAATGAACTAAGGGTGTATGTGTGTTTGTGTGTGTAAGTATCACCAACAGACTTACTATCTTTTGTGGTAAAAGTACAGATGTTTCTTTAAAAAAAAAAAAAAAAAACTCTTTTCCAGATTTCTACAAGAAGCATTTATTCCTTTTGTAACTAAAGCCAATATATCTTTTATTCACTTGTTTTTCACAAAAAGAAGCTGGCAATGAAGAAGGGAAGGAGGGCCTCATGGCAAAGCTAGAGGAGGACGGTCTTGAGTCTTGTTTGGCTTGTTTTGACTGAAGAACTTGAGCATGGTGATAGGACAAGTGGAAATGTCAATGGAGAAGGAGAGGCTGAATGTATAGGGAGGAAGAAAGGTCACTGGCAGCACAGCCTTCCTGAGGAGCTGGGAGAGAGTGAGACCCAAAGCAGGATATGAGGATAACTTTCAACACAGAAGGGCACCGCTTCGGCTCTGATTAGAGAAAAAGGAGTTGGTAGTGTGCTTGCTACCTACAGCAATGCCTGGCACACAAGGAAGGGAGCATCTAAGTGTATAGGAGGAGAGGAAGCGTGAAAGACTTGCTATAGATTGACTCTCATTTTTTCCACCAAGTAAGGGAGCCACTCTATAGAACAGTAGTTTTCAAACTTTTGTCAGAATGTATTATAGGTATCTCTTGTGGATCTGTGTCCTTCTCTAAACTGGATTCCCAGAAAGCAAGGGAAACCATATCCTCTTGTCTCTGCATCTACCACCCCTCTTCCAGTGACTGATGCAAGGTAGATGCTAAGGAAATGTTTGTTGAGTGAATGGAGTATGATAGGGAATATGAAGAGAGCAGTGAGGGTTTCACATCGTTCAGGTGGTATCAGAAGGAACCCACCAGTGACAAGTGGATGGATCTGAACAGCCTGAGGATACAGTTGGATTGAGAGCATCTCTCTACTTAAGAGCACTCCAGATAGGAGTGTTTGAAGTGGGGGAAACTAATAATAGCTATAGGTGATCTGTTCTGCTTTATGTCTAAGTTTCCTGCTGTCTGTGAAGGCCCTTTGAATCTATGCTGCACAGGTCTCTCTATTATGGGCACGGAAACCCACCCAGCCCAACGTAGCCACCACAGACGAGAATGTTCCTCTAGCTCCCAAGACTTGGCTTTTCTAAGTCTTGGCTTTCTTTTGTTTAACATGAACCTCTAAAGACTTTTTAGTTTCTTAATAAGTAATGCTTACATTGTGTAATAAATTGGATCAAAGACATACAGAGTATTTTAAACTGTAAATGACAATATGAAAAGAAGGAGTTATTGTTTTGAGGGTATTTTACTTACTCGCTACAACTAAGAAGTGGCTCCAAGTTTTTAGATTCCTCAGAACCAGACAAATAGCTTCCTCCAGTTATATTCCAGGGCTCTGAAGAAGCCACTGGCCTAAACATGAAAATCCCACCCAAAGGAGAAGCTTCTGTTTTTCTCCCCCAAACTGCATTTTTGCTGTAAGCTTGTCAGGATGGTGTTACCAAAGATGAATTGTTGAACCATGAGTAGAAGCTGGCGTGGATTGACTCTCCCAGGATGAACTGTAGAGACGGAAGTGATTGGATCAGGGTCATGATGGACACATACAATCAGTTTTTATTCCTGACTCTTTTTCTCCAAAACAGAATTGCATCGATGAAATTGAGACCATAATCAGTGTTAAGCTCCAGCTCATTGGAATTGTCGGTATTGGAATTGCAGGTCTCACGGTGAGAAAGTTCTAGAACTTACCTTTTTTTTCCCTCTAAAAAGCCTTGAAACTTTGCATCTTATTTCTCTTCAGGTATGATATGATAGTATCTTAAGAGAGAGTTCTCATAAAGAAAAAAGACCTTTGTTCACAATGTATTATAGCTTCTAAGAACAGAGCTCATTAAATACATTAATAGTTTGTCCTCTAAAATATAAGACAAAATTCAACTTTAACTCATTATGACCTTGAGTGTATCATTATATTAACTTCCCATTTTAAGGTTACCATTCATAACCCAGATAAATGATTTTCAACTCTGGGTCTCTTTCTGCTGTTACAAATTCAAAAGATCAGGTTAATCTCTCTCACCTATGATTTGAAGAGGCAGCAGAGCATGGAGATTAATAAGACAAGCCCTAGCATCACATGGTTTAGACTTAACTCTAGTCTCCACGACTTGCCAGTGCTGGGATCATAAGGAAGTTTCTTAATTTCTCTATACTTCAATTTCCTCATCTGTTAGATGGGAAATTTCATATATAAGCCTCATAAGATTGCTGTGAAAATTCACTTGGATACTACATATAAAGGAGTATTACAAAGTAATACAGGTAACGTGTCTGGGACATACAGCACTCAGCAAATGCCAGCTCTCGGCAGAATCTACCAGGCAAAAGCAATGGTACAGGAGAAAGTACAAAGCATAGTGCATCCAAGCCACCACCAGGTGGCTCATATAAAGGAGTATTACAAAGTAATACAGGTAACGTGTCTGGGACATACAGCACTCAGCAAATGCCAGCTCTCGGCAGAATCTACCAGGCAAAAGCAATGGTACAGGAGAAAGTACAAAGCATAGTGCATCCAAGCCACCACCAGGTGGCTCTGTACTTCTAAAGTACAAGTATGCGGGAAAATGGGTAGCTGTGGACGTGTATGGCAGGAGTCGCAAGAGATGGTAATGGAGAGAGTATTGGGTCCACATCATTAAGGTCTTTGTATGCTACTTTGAAAGGGTGGGCTTCATCCATAAGGAGAAGGGAGTCAGCAAGGGTTGGAAGAACCTGTGGTAGAGGATGGAGGACAGATTGGAGGGAGGCAAGATAAGATTTGGGAGACCGCTTAAAGGGTGATTGCCATTGTCCAGGGGTTGGGTGATAACAGCTAATGCTAAGATAGCACTTACTCTGTAGGCCTCTATGTAGATTAATTCATGGCCTAAACTAAGGCAGGGGCTCTGGGAATTGTGAGAACATTAATGAATTTGGAGTTATCAGAGGACACACAAGTACCTTTCCCCTTTTCTGTATTTAGAGTACAGAGGGGTGGGGAAGTGGCTAGAAATACTCTTCTGAGGCCCTCCAAATCAAGGGACATCTCTCAGGCCCTCCCCACCTGCTCTGGGGCTAGCCTGGTTGCAATTCTGCAGCCACCGCCCTGGCCCCCCAAGGGCAATTCTGAGACAGGAGGTCTGAGCACGTGCTACATAATGGAGATAGGGAGTAGACCTTTCTAGTAGTTCTACAATCTCAGCAAATGAGCAGCCTAGAAGCATTCATCCCCAACTGTGTCAGGAGTAGGCTGAGACTGAAGAAGTCTCTTCGAAGCCAGGATGGGGTGGGGATTGCATCCAACCTTATGACCATGGTAAAGGGGAAATGCCGTCAGTGGGCTTATCTTGAATCGGCACCCCCCAGTTTCTTCGTTAGTTCTTTTCTCTGTAAAGTGAGAGTTGCACAGTGTAATCAGTCACCCAAATGTTCATTGGGTGTCTCCCCTGCTACACACTGCTACTGAGTCTTATCATCCAGAAGCTTGAAATCCTGTTCCTGGCCAAGCCCTTACCTGCTTCTCCCCTCCTTTTTCAAAACAACTGATCATTCGTATCTTGTTGAATAGCTTTACAGATCCTAGTCTGACTTAGGATGGAATTGAAGAGAGAAACAGAAAGTAATAATTCCCATTTTTTAAAATAAACATTGACAGTATTTTATAGAATGGTACCCACAAATAGTGTTCCATGGGCTCTACAAAACTGTAGGGGAAATAATTGCGGACAAGAAGAATCCTTGGCATTCTTCTCTTGAAACCGTGGAAATGGATATTGATTTCACTCAAGTATTTAACTTCTCAGAGAACTATCCAAAAGGTAAAAGTCAATAATAATATAGTATAAACACTCCAGTTTGTGCTTTGGTGAAACTATTAAACAGTGAAGCATCATTTGCACTTAAAAATGGACTGGGAATGAAGTGACACTCCACTTTTTTTTTCGTTTTTTGTGAGACAGGGTCTCTGTCACCCAGGAGTAAAGTGGTGCGATCACAGCTCACTGCAGCCTCAACCTCCTGGGCTCAAGCGATCCTCCCACCTCAGCTTGCCAAGTAGCTGAGACTGTAGGGACACACCACCACAATCAGCTAATTTTCGTGTTTTTTTGTAGTGACAGGGTTTCACCATGTTGTCCAGGCTGGTCTAGAACTCCTGAGCTCAAGCGATCCTCCCACCACAACCTCCCAAAGTGCTGGGGTTACAGATGTGAGCTACTGCACCCAGCCAATACTCCATTTTTAGACATGTGGTTACTGTTGCAAAAGTCCAGAGCTTTTCCAACAACAGAAAATTCTGTAGACCATAGGCATATCTAAACGAGTGGTTATATCTGGGATTAACTTGAAATATACAATTTCAAAGCCAGTGTTGCATCTGGCTTTCACAGTTATTCAAAACCATTCTGTAATTCTGAAGCAGGATGGGTTCTTAAAGCAGAGCCTTGTTATTTGTTAACAATAATAAAACATATTTAAACAGTTAATCTGGAAATCTTTACCCCATAGTCAGCCTTAAGTACTGTACTAAAATGTCATTTGTAACTGGTAATTAATGGTTATAATCACTTGTTAACTTGAGTTAGACACCCAGGGAGTCTGTGGAACTTTTTGCCAATCAGTACCCATTTGAAAGTGGCTGATGAGCGGTTCCTTCTGTTTCAGATCTGTGGCATGATATTCAGCATGGTCCTCTGCTGTGCGATACGAAACTCACGAGATGTGATATGACGCTACTTCTCCATGAAAATTGTAATCTAAAGCTTTCATACCAAATGTCACAGGAGCTGTCTCCCAGCTCATTTTTAATACTGAAATGACATTAGGGTCTAAAATAATTTGCTCTCAATTGTACATTTGCATGAGTATGTATGTCTGAGTCATTACTGGTTTACCCCTTGAGTGAATGCCTATGTATGTTGACTGAGAGCATATTCATGTGTGATCAGCGTGTTTCTAGCATATGTTATTTCATCATGAAATCTGTTTGCTGGAAATTCCTGATTCTTGTTATATAAGAGAAACAACCCTTTTCACTCCCAGAAAAATATCAAAAAGCTTTCAGAAACTGTGAGAACTTGGCTGTTTAGAAAAAGCGACAATGGGTCAGTTTCTCAGACTGTAGCCTTTGAAAATTACATGCAGAGAATTCAGAGATTTCTTCTTAATGGAAGCAATAAGCTATAAGAATTGAGAGATTACATCGGAGTGTTAAAACTGACTGTGTCTAAGTTGAGTGTAAGGGTTTCCTGAGTTTTTTTATATACATGCTCTCCCCAAAATACAGTAAACCACAGTTTTAGAGCTAAACACATCTGTAAAAGTAAATATAGCATGGAAAATCTAATTTGAATAAGTCATGCTTTCCTAGAATTTAAAAATAAAAAAGCCTTCCTCTGGAAAGAGAAGTCACACAGACAATCATGTGCCCTATAAAAGTGAGTGTTTATAGGACTAGAAAACTTTTAACAACTTTTTAAGGAAATATTTTTGGTCTTATGCAAAAGCATGTAAATACTGCTTTATTACTTTGCTTTTCTGATCCTGCTCTAAACTACGGCAGCCCTCCCGTCCTCAAAGTGGCTTTTATCTTAAACTCTTCTCTTTCTCTAAATATAAGAACAGAAAGACTAGAGCAAAAGGTCTGGCAGTTGAAAACTGTGGGAAAGAGAATTTTTACTGGCACTTATCTTTGAAATACCTCATAACTTACGTTTACATGTTTTCCTAATTTTTTGTAATTTTCTTATATATTCAATTAGAGAATTCTTTTCATAGATTAAGAACTACAGTTTTCACCACCTAAAGTAAGTAAAATGAAGTTCTTCATAATTTAACTGTTAACATCCTTTGCCAAACCAAAATAAAACAAAGAAAAGCCTCTTTTCCTAGTTGTGTGCAGGCAACAGAAACCAGTTAAGGAAACAGAAATACTTATATACACATAGAACAAAATTTTTGTGTGTGTGCAAATCCTCTGAAAATAAAACTTTCAAGGTGTTTTTAGTCTTAATGCTTCATTTTAAGTTAGTAAACCCAAATTTAGGATTGACATTGGCATATTTTTCAGTAATTTTCAATGTGTTACAGTTCGTAAACAGTAGGTTTTTCAAAAATTACATTTTATACGGCCACAGGCAAGTGAAAATGTGGGAGGCTTTGGAAACCCCCAAGTGAACTTCTATACATGTGAAAACACAAGTCTTTCAGTGTGCACTAAAAGCATCACGCTCCTAAAAAACTCCAAAACATTTTGCTACAAAGATATAACTGCTTGAAATAGTCTCTCCTCCATGAAGAACCACATTTCTCTTTCTGCCATACTTGCTACTGCTACTGATTTTGGAGGAAACTTTTCTAGAAGAAGTAGAGGTCGGATTTGAGGCAAGCTAAAAACTTAATTATACATGGCTAGTTTACCGTGTCTGTAGCTAGAGAAAAATTATTTTACAAAAGTCACTTCATGAAATATATATGTTTGTACCCCAGCAGTTGAGAAATGTGACCTTTTCGGCAAAGAACAGACAGACAGTCCATCTCTGTTAGCTTTAGTTTCTCTCTGCCTGAAGACGGGAAACGGGCCCAAGTACGTACTCAGGTTCCTTCCAAACTCAGAATCGTCTCTGATTTCACAAAGTGAGTTTAATTTCCTATCTGATTTAGCAACTTTAAAGAAGACTAAAATAGTTAAAAGTGGAAGAATAGAAATAAGTACTTTTTTAAAAAATTTAAAGTGGAAGAGAAGGGTTCTGTTCCATGTACGATTAGTGTGCCCCTTTTGGGGGTAAACTTTCCAAAATATGTGTATGTGTAAAATTAGACAATTCCACCACTGAGCGACAGTAGATTTTATGTGTATGTAAATATATATATATATTTACACAGATAAATATATATCTGTGTAAATAGACACACATAGTATATCTATATATAGATATGTAATCCCTATATATCTTGAATCTACAAATATCTTTATACATATATAATTTGAATATATACATGTATGTATATATAGATATGTGTGTGTATATATATATGTATTATATATATACACACACACATACACATATACATGCATTTTCAGTTATTTCTCTTTCCCTAAACTGATTTGAGATCAGACCCAAACATGCTTTTAAATGTCTCATGCTGAGGCACTGAATTAAAATGTCTTAATATTGAAATATTTTAAGTGATTTCAAGTTAAATTTTCTCTATACTGAAATTGCTTGTTTGATTTATTTTAAAGTCCTGTATCTTTCTACGAACCTTCACCCAACTTATCTAAATGTCTAACTACCAATCAAATAATGTGGTAAAAATAAGTAAATAAAACAGAGTGGTAACCCTTCTATAATTTGCTATTGGTAGTTGAACTTAAAAGCAACACCCAAGGACTCTTATTGGAATGATATTCAGCATGGTCCCTGCTGTGTGATATGAAACTCACGAAACTCACTGAGAGATACAATCATCTCTCAGTATTCATAGGAGAATGGTCCCAGGACCCCCTATGGACACCAAAATTCACCGATTTCCAAGTCCCTCACATAAAATTGTGTAGTATTTGCATATAACCTATGCATATCCTCTCATATACTTTATTTTTTTAATTGGTGCATAATAGTTGTACATATTTATGGGGTACATGTGATATTTTGATATTAGCATACAATGTGTAATAATCACATCGGGGTAATTGGGATGTCTGTTACCTGAAACATTTACCATTTCTTTGTGTTGGGAACATTCCAGGTCTTCTAGGTCTTTTGAAATATATAACAAATTATTATTGTTAACTACAGTCACCCTGTCGCACAGCCGAATATTAGAACTTGTTCATTTTATCTAACTGTATTTTTGTACCCATTAATCAACACCTCTTCATTCCTTCCGGCCTCTGGTAACCACCATTGTATTTACCACCTCATGAGATCAATTTTTATAGCTTCCACATGTGACTGAGAGCATGATTTATCTTGATGATATTTGTCTTTCTGTGCCTGGCTTATCTCACTTAATATCCTCCAATTCTATCCATGTTGCTGCAATTGACAGGATTTTATTCATTATTCAGCCATTGTCATTAGTGTCATGGCTGAATAATATTTCCTCGTGTATATATAGCACATTTTCTTTATCAGTTCATCTGTTGATGGATGCTTAGGTTAATTTCATATCTTGGCTATTGTGAATAGTGCTAAAATAAATATGAACATGCAGACATCTCTTTGATACATTGATTTTCTTTTTTTTTTTGGATATATACCCAACAGTAGGATTGCTCAGTCATATGGTAGTTCTATTTTTAGTTTTTTGAGGAACCTCCAAACTGTCTTGCATTGTGGCTGTTGATTGTTTCCTTTGTCGTGCAGAAATTTTTAGCTTGATGTAATCCCATTTGTCAATTTTTACTTTGGTTGCCTGTACTTTTGAGGTTTTATCCCAAAAATATTTGCCCACACCAGTGTCCTGAAGCATTTTCCCAGTGTTTTCTTCTAGTAGTTTCATGGTTTCAGGTCTTACATTAAGTCTTTAATACATTTGAATTTTGTGTAGTATTAGGGATCTGGTCTCATTCTTCTGCATATAGATAACCAGTTTTCTCAGCACTATTTGTTAAAGAGCCTGCTTTTCCCCCAGTGTAAGTTATTGATGCCTTTGTCAAAAATGAGTTAGCTGTAAATGCATAGGTTTATTTCTGGGTTCTCTATTCGGTTCCATTGGTCTATGTGTTTTTTAATGCCAATACCATGCTGTTTTGGTTACTATAGCTTTGTGGTATATTTTGAAAGTAGGTAGTGTGATGCCTCCAGCTTTTATTTTTTTGATGAGGATTGCTTTGACTTTTGTGTGTGTGTGTGTGTGTGTGTGTGTGTGTGTCTGTGGTTCCACATGAATTTTAGCATTTTTTTCCATTTTTGTGAAAAAATTTCATTGGTATTTTGATAGGGATTGCACTGAACCATTTTAACAATATTAAGTCTTCCAATCCATGAACATGGATTTTTTTTTTCCTTTTTTTTTTTCTGCTCTCTTCAATTTATTTCATTAATGTTTCATAGTTTTCATTATAGAGATCTTTCACTTCTTTGGTTAAATTTATTCCTAAAATTTTTTGTAGTTATTGTAGATGGGATTACTTTCTTAATTTCTTTTTCAGACTATTTACTGCTGGCATATAAAAATACTACTGATTTTTGTATTTTGATTTTGTGTCCTGTAACTTTACCAAATTCATTTATCAGTTCCACCAATTTTTTTGTGGAATCTTTAGGTTTTTCTAAATATAAAACATGTCATCTTCAAACAAGGATGATTTTACTTCTTTCTTTCCTCTTTGGATGCATTTTCTTTCCCTTGATGAATTGCCCTGGGTGGGACTTCCAGTTGTATGTTGAATAGAAGTGATGAAAGTGGGCATCGTTGGTTTTTTTGCACATCTTTTAATTTATGGCTGGGCACAGTGGCTAACGCTGGTAATCCCAGCACTTTGGGAAGCCAAGGCAGGTGGATCACAAGATCAAGAGTTCAAGTTTGAGACCAGCCTGGCTAACATGGTGAAACCTCGTCTCTACTAAAAATACAAAAATTATCTGGGCATGGTGGCATGTGCCTGTAATCCCAGCTACTTGAGAGGGTGAAGCACAAGAATTGCTTGAGCCTGGGAGGCTAGAGGTTGCAGTGAGCAGAAATCATGACATTGCACTCCAGCCTGGGAAACAGAGTGAGACCCTGTCTCAAAGGAAAAAAGATAGGGAGAGAGGGAGGGAGGGAGGGAAGGAAGGAAGGGAAGGAAGGAAAGACTTGTAATTTTTAATTTTTCCATGTTCAGTATGATGTTAGCTGTTGTTTTATCTTATATGGCTTTTAATGTTGTGAGGTATGTTCCTTATGTCACCAGTTTGCTGAGAGTTTTCATTATGAAGGATGCTGCATTTTATCAAATGCCTTCAGTATCTATTCAAATGTTCTTATGGTTTTTGTCCTTGTTACTATTAATGTGACTTGTCACGTGTATTGATTTGTGTATGTTGAATCATCCTTGCATCCTTGAGATGAATCCCAATTAATTGATCATGGTGAATGATCTTTTTAATGTGTTGTTAAATTCTGTTTGCTAGTATTTTGTTGAATATTTTTGCATCTATGTTTATTAGGAATATTGATCTGTCATTTTCTTTGTCATTATATTTTTGTCTGGTATAGCTATCAGGGTAATACTGGCCTCATAAGATGAGCTGTCCAATTTGGGGGAATAATTTTAGTAGAATTGGTGTTAGTTCTTTAAATATTTGGTAAAATTTGGCAGTGAAGCCACCAGGTCCTGGGCTTTTCTTTGATGGGTGTCGTTTATTACTGCTTTTGTCTTATTACTTGTTATTAATCTGCTCAGGTTTCTTCTTCATGGCTCAATCATGGTAAATTGTATGTATTTAGAAATTTATTCATTTTTTTCTAGGTTTTTCAATTTATTGGCATATAGTACAAATGTCTCTAATAATCTTTTGTATTACTGTGGTGTCAGTTGTAATATCTCCTTCTTTGTCTCTTATTTACTTGAGTCTGTCTTTTTTCCTAATTAGTCTAGCTAAAGTTTGTCATTTTTTTATCCTTTAAAAAATTAATTTTTCATTTTGTTGCTCTTTTTCATTGTGTTTTAGTGTTCATTTTATTTATCTCTACTCTGGTTTTTATTATTTCTTCTGCTGATTTGGGATTTGGTTTGTTCTTGCTTTTCTAGTTCTTTAAGGTACGTCATTAGATTGTTATTTGAAATCTGGCTTTTTTGATATAAGTATTTATTACTATAAACTTCCTTCTTAATATGACTTTTGCTGTACTCCATAGGTTTGGTATGCTGTATTTCTATTTTCATTTGTTTCAAGAATTTTAAAAATATTCTTAATTTTTTCATTGACCCGTTGGTCATTCAGGAGCATGTTGTTTAATTCTTATGTATTTGTTCATTTTCAGTGTTCTTCTTGTTATTGATTTCCTGATTTTATTCCATTGCAGCCTGAATAGATATTTGATATTATTTCAGTGTTTTGCGTTTGTTGCGACTTGTTTTATGACCTTGCATGTTGTCTTTCCCGGAGAATGTTTTCATGTGCTGGTGAGAAGAATGTGTATTTGGTAGCAGTAGGATGAATGTTCTAAAAATGTCAGTTATGTCCATTTGGTCTAAAGTATAGTTTACTTTTCACGTTTTTTTTTAATTGTCTCTCTATATGATCTATCCATTGGCAAAAGTTGGGTTTTGAGGTTCCCTACTATTATTGTAATGGACTCTATCTGTCCGTTTGTGCTCTGATATTGGGTACAATTATATTTACAATTGTTATATCTTCCTGCAGAATGATCCCTTTACCATTATATAATGACCTTCTTTGTCTCTTTTTTAGAGTTTCTGACTTAAAAAGAGACAACGTTCTGGGTCTTTGTTTTTCATTCATTCAGTCACTCTGTGTCTTTTAAATTGGAGAATTTGGTCCATGTTTACATTCAGTGTAATTAATGATAGGTAAATACTATTGCCATTTTGTTATTTGTTTTCTGGTTTTTAAGTCCTTTATTTTATTCTTACTATCTTTCTCTGTGGTTATTTTCTCTGGTGTTATGTTTTAACTTCTTACTTTTTATTTTTACTGTATCTATTATAGGTTTTTGCTTTGTGCTTGTTACAGACAAAAACTATCTTATACTTTAATACCTTGTTTTAAACTGATAACTTTGAACACAGAGAAAAGAAGCAAACAAGTTTTTAGTTGTTTTTAGAAAAAAACTAAAAAATTCTTCATCTTAACTTCATCTTCCCCTAGTTTCTGACTTTCTCATGTCTCCATTTATAACTTTTTATGTTACTTATCTCTTTTTTTTTTTGAGAAGTAATCTCACTTTGTCACCCAGGCTTGAGTGCAGTGGTACAATCTCAGCTCACTGCAACCTCTGCCTCCTGAGTTCAAGCTGTTTTCCTGCCTCAGCCTTCCTAGTAGCTGGGATTACAGGTTTCTGCCACCACACCTGGCTAAATTTTTTTGTATTTTTAGTGGAGACGGGGTTTTGCCATGTTGGGCAGGCTTACCTCAAACTCCTGACCTCAAGTGATCCACCCACCTTGGCGTCCCAAAGTGCTGGGATTACAGGTATGAGCCACTGCACCCAGCTTTGTGTTGTTTATCTCACAAAGATTGTCATCGTTATTTTTGATTGGTTTGTGTTTTAGTCTTCATACCAGAGATATGAGTGGTTTACTCAACACAATTACTGTATGAGAATATCCTGGATTTGTGTATTTACTTTTATCAATGAGCTTTATAGCTTCAGATGATTTCTTATCACACTCTAGCATTCTTTTCTTTCAGATTAAAGAAGTCCCTTTAGCCTGTTTTGTAAGTTAGATCTGGTGGTCTTGAACTTTCTGGGCTTTTGTTTGTTTGGCAAAGTCTTTATTTCTCCTTCATGCTTGAAGGATAGCTTTTCTGGGTACAGAATTCTCAGTTGAAAGCTTTTTTCCTTCAGCACTTTGAATATGTCAGCCCACTCCCTCCTGGCCCTTAAGGTTTCTGCGGAGAAGTCTGCTGCCAGACATATTGGGGCTGCTTTATATGTTATTTGCTTCAAAAGAAAAGCAGCTCTTGTGGCTTTTAGAATCCTTTCTTTATCCTTTACCTTTGAGAGTGTGATTATTATACGGCTTGGGGTAATCCCATTTGGGTTGAATGTTCTTGCTGTTCTTTAGCCTTCTTGTGCCTGGATATGCATAACCTTCTTTAGGTTTAGAAAGTGATTTATTATTATATCTTTGAATCAACTTTCTATCTCGTCTTTTTCTCTACTTCCTCTTTAGGCTAGTAACTCTTAGGTGTGTCCTTTTGTGGCTATTTTCCAGATCTCATACATGTACTTCCATCCTTTTGCTTTTTTCTCCTCTGACTTTGAATTTTCAAATAGCTTGTCTTTGAAATCACTAATTCTTTTTTTTGCTTGATCAGTTCTGCTGTTGAGACACTCTGATGATGCTTTTTTTGCTTAATCAATTGTACTTTTCAGCTGCAGGAGTTCTTTCTTTTTTTTTATTATTTCAATCTCTTTGTTAAATGTCTTTAATAAATTTCTGAATTCTTTCTGTCAGTTTTCTTGAAGTTCATTGAGCTTCCTCAAAACATCTATTTTGAATTTGCTAAGTGAGATATCACATATCTCCACCACTCCCGTGTTGGTCATTGGCC